TAACTCCCAGACATACTGCTGCACAGTATTCAGATGGTACTTTGAACACAAAAATTGCTTCTCTGAAGGTGAAATTAACTGAAAAAAAAATTAATTTGATCATTATGTTAGATCATTCTACCGTGCCAGATTAGAATAAACATAAAAATAGGTGGCTGAGTGGAAAAGTACTTTTGTCTTCCTATTTGGAAAACCTACCACAGTTTAAATCTTGCCTTGGGGTACCAAGAAATGTCATTTTCAAGTCCCTATCCCAGAATATAATCACTGCATTTGTAAAAACTTATTTATCATTCAGCCCTATTAGTTCTCAACTTCCCAGTTCTCTGTGCTAAGAGGACCAGAAGAGTAACGCTAGGCTGAGTCTGAGTTGCATTACTAGAACTTGGCAAGGAAATGTGCATAATCTCCCTGAGATATGCCTGGTTTTGTGAGACCACGTCTACACTGGGACACTCGGGAGAGCTGGAAGAAAGACCTCATATGGAACATGATGTCAGGATGCATAAACTGAAGTGTACAGAAGCTGGTTTAGCTGCTGTCTCGTGGGAGTACGGTAAACTTCATTCTCTATGATGTTCTGGGAATACACTACAGTGAATAAAAAGAAACAACCAGATGGGATTTAATATGGACTTCACGCCTTTGATTGAATAGGCTTGGAATTCATGAAATGTCCCTGAACAAGCACAACCTAATTACTCATTTCTTTGAGCAACAAAGTTGCCTTAACAGAACTTTAAAAAATACAGGCAATTAGCAGTATTTCTAAATGCATCATTTTCAAAAGTACTGTAAAAGGCATTTCTGTGGTCATGTATAAAATGCTACAAAAAAAGTTTGAACACAGGAATACGAAAGTGCCTTGAAATGGAAGAAAAAAATATACAATTTGGACATTTATACTTCATTCTCTTTTTTATTTTCCTAAGTATTGCAGGATCACTTCTCTGTGCATGTGATCTCACACATATAATGTATATTGCAATACCTCACGAAAAGAGGAGACTGAACTAAGAATAGAGGACTAGATACTCATCTGGCATAATGTGAGACTACTCCAGTAATTTCAGCATTCTTACTCCAATTTGCAACAGCTAAGGATCTGGCACAAAACATCAAGTTAAGTTTCCAATTACCTCATGCACCAGCATTGATTTCAATACTTATATACACATAGTCATAGAGGAGAATTATTTGAAAAATTGCAAACTCAGCTCTGTGTTTCTTTTACTTTTATGGTCTAAATCAGACCCTTCATGGTATTTTAATGTAGGTTTTTGTGGTTTAATTATATATATGTCAAGAGCAGACTAGTTACTTGCTGATCTACCCAATTAAAAAAAAAAAAAAAAAAAAAAAAAGGCAGCAGTAATTTTTTCACTGCTGAGAGTGTGAGCCTATACTGGGTCACAACAAAATAGTATTTCATTTTAATGCTGATAAAAAATCTAGTGCATATTAACTAAATCACATAAGTAATAAGTTAACACCTATGCAAAAATCAGTCTTTGTGTGAATATTTTTCAGGTTGCCTTCAGAGGTCTTTTTTGTAATTTTCTGCTCCAAATTAGTCAAATTTTGTATAGCCCAGCACAACCCTAGTGCAAAGAGAGTATTCAGTCAGCCGAGGCAGACTGAGTTCTTCAGAGACAGCATTTAAATTACATCCAACAGAACTACCCTCCACTGCAGTTCTACAGATAGCTGCTCAATGAAAAGTCACTGTAATAGTATTTATTTAGTTCTAGGAAAAAGCCATAGACATTAATTTATGCATAGAAATCCTCCAAATGACTTCTTTTCAAATCCATGGTAATTGCAGCCTAACTCAAACTTTAGTGTCTACTACCCAAGCCTAACAGCCTAAAACCAAAAAAGTCTCTATGGCTTATAGAGTGAGAGGCTCTGAAGATAATCACTAGCCATTATAATATTCCCTTGGAGAAATAAGGAAATTTTTAACAAATTGAAAATACAATGCTTAAACTTTAGTATTCCTCAGACAGCCATTAGCATTTGACATTTTGCTCCAAAGCCTAATGACTAGTCTATACAATCCTGTGACTGAGACTGCCCAGTGATACATTTCAATATAGGATAATCAATCATCAAAGTAATTTTCACTGTTTAACGTTAGAGCAAAAAGGCAGCCAGCTATTCGACACATTTTTCAGGCTTAGAGATAAAAAGAAGAAAATTCTTTAAAATAGCTTTTGCCTTCAAGGTCCTATATTACAGACATCCCAAAAGCAATCCTTCTGGCAGCATTGCAAACTACAATGTAGACTAAAAATGTGAGTTTTACTGCCTTTTCAAATAGATTTTATTATTTATTTGACATATGAGCACTCTTCTTATCTGAGCTTTTGCATTGCAAATTGCGTCCAAGTTCCTTTAACCGCTTCTGATTTAATGACAGATTTAATAACACTGCAACACAGAAGTATGGAATTGGCCAAAAATTATTTCATAAAAATCTGATTTCTGTACAGCAACGTCAAAAATGTCACCTAATACATACAAGTAAATCAGAAGTTTTTAATGTATATTGTAAAGCCTGAGTCTTTGATAGGTAAAACATCTACTGACTTTAAAGACCATAATTTATTTTTAATAACCATTTTTATTTAATTTTTCAAAGAGAAACAGTTTATGCCTTCAGTAGAACCATGCCATGAAATCTCAGGGGTGATAAAAAGGCCATGCCAAAGCTGAAAGGTTTCGAATATCAAACTATACTATTATGTCAGGGTCAGCAAGATCAATTAGCGCTTTTCAATGACAGAAAAAGGTTAAGTTGGACACACATTTACACAATATTTAAATCCAAAAAAGAAAAATAGCACTTATTAGGTGTACTTATAAACCTCTCCATCAATGACTGAATATCAACATTCTTCTTCCAGTTGCATACCATAAATGCAGGGATTTTTTAACACAAAATGTCAGGAAGATTACAGATATATTAGACAGCAGAAATACTACCGGATTCTCAAGTACAAAGAAAAAAGCAAAGACATCTGAGTGTTGCTGCTACCAGACTTGGTTTAGTGGTGAACTTCCAAAAAGCTTTAAAAATACTCCACCAACCTGACATATGTCTGTCAGTCTGATGTCCCTGTGTTTGCACCTCTCTGTAAACCCTGACAGTACCAAAAAAGAAAGCTATTGAGCAAATAAACCTATTCCTATGCTCAACTAAAAAACAAACCTAACCCCACCCCCCAATTGGAAAATACTGTAAATAATCTGTAAATACTGTAAATAGTCTCATCCAAAATCTGGGAAAAAAACTAAGTGTACACCTTCTGTAACTAACAGCCAGAAACATGCACACCAGGAAGCAAGGAAACTTACGTTTCAGTTCTCAATATCACAAGAATACTCACTGGAAGCACAGGTATGTTAGAAGTTAATTCAACACCTGTTAATTCAAGCATTGCCATCATAAACATAGCTTGAGCAAAGTAGCTGGTTATGATATCAAATAAAGCCAGCATGAAATCACAATAAAAATCCAGGAGATTAAGAAAACCTAACGAAAAAGTATGCTGTGTTGAAATCAGTGATTTAGATTGGTATTGCATTGAGTAAAAGCAATGCAAGATTACTTCTTCTCAATGATATATTTCAAAATGTCTCTTTTTTAAGCCCGTTTCTTTAAGGAGCGATTTGAAATATTTACTACCAGACAGTACCTAATTTTAGGTTTTAAGTGCTTTAACAGCTCTATGAAATATGATCAGCAGCTGCAATATAGAAGTATGCTGAATAAACGCTCCTTATAAAAAGAGAGACCTGCTCTACCCTGAGTTAATAAAATCCCTACTTTCAAGAAGGAAAAAGATAACGCAGAAAAAAATTAATAGCTGTGTCCTAGAGCGTTTAACAGAAATTCCAGGAATTTATTTTTTTCTTTCTGTGGCAACTTTCGCATTTAAGAGAGCAAAATGCTGTTTAAATTTTAACATGGGAGGATTGCACACAACATCATCCAATACCACCAGTTCATCAAGAAAACAGACAGGTACCTTTCCTTCCCCAAATGCCAATGTTTAACATTAATTCTAGAAGTTGCATAAAGTTTAAAGAGTTGCATAAAGTTTAAAGAGTTAAACTTTAACACTTGCATCAGACGCTAAAAATATGCCACATGGTACTATCTATAGCTGTATTTCTACAGTTGCCTTGTTTGAAATATTTTAACTGGGAACTGCAACTAATTGAGAACCCACCAGTGCCTTACTCAATACATTTCTTGTTTAGGATTCATTTATTTCATCGACATTACCCATACAGAATGAATTTATACTGCAAAGTATTGTGAGGCCATTAATAAATACAAATCCATCAAGAGTAACCTTCAACTAAGTTTATTATCACTACCACCATACACATGTAGCAATTAATAATTGCATATAAATTATCTGAGCAGAGATACAGAAAAGATTTGTCAACATACTCCACTTTCATTTCTATTAAATTTGGTTGAAGGACATTTGGTAACATAAATACCGCACTTAAAAAAAAAAAAAAAAAGAAAAAACTCAAAAAGAGCTGTTTCAGACATAGCCCAGCTAATGTTAGATGTCAAACAGAGAAAGAATCACCGGGAAGAGAGAGAAATGTCAGTCTGTATGGAAATTTTACTCACAGTATGATATATATTGCAAGTATGCAAGCATTTGTTATTCGGCAGCATTTTCAGAAATGCCAGGGGAAGAGTGAAACCCACGGCAATTTTGCGAAACTTACTTCTGACTGTTAGGGAAATGAAACAAAGATACGGCCTGAGCTTTATTGCAAAGTACATGCTTCTAACATCAAACTCCGAGGTCAGACCAGAAAACCTATTTGCCAAACAGAAAAGATGCCTTCTTTGTATAACTCCCTCTAAATCTAAACTGCTGATTAGTTTACCTTAGATAGGCTTTCTAGTCTCCGCAAATGAAACACGTAAAACAAAACTCAGAAAACTGTAAAAACTGGTTCCTTACTGTTCTAGCATGACTTCATACTCAAACTGGAACCGGCCAAGTCGCTCCCTTGTCTGCTACAGCGCGCGTCCCAGGGTTTTTGTCAATACCAGCTATTTCACACCGCCACGCGTGAGCGCAGCGCGTCCCTCCGTGCGCTCGGCTGCAAGCCCTGCCCGCGGCTACGGAGCCGGCAGCACCGCGCCCGCTTGGCTCGGAGCGGCAGTTTCATAAATGTAAATGAAACTTTAGATGCCAACTACCGATTGGCAGCGGAGATGCCGTGGGATCCCGCTCTCCCTTCCCGGCGGAAGGCCCGGGGAGCAGCCCCGTGTCCGGCCGGGTACGGCGCGGAGCCCCCGCGGCTCGGAAGAACCGCCGTGTGAAAGGCAGCTGGCGGCTCTCCGCGGGTATCTGACTTTGGAAGTGTCTGTAATGACAGCAGGAGAAGGAGATTAATGGCTAAGAGCCCAATGGTTTTGAACACGGAGAATCCTGTTACCTCCTCGAGGATCAAGTACGCGCACACAACCGCGCACACACACACGCACACACAAGGCTTACCCACGTGGAAACGCTTTCTAACCAAAACACAAGTCCCCGCATCGCCGGTGGAAAAGGCGGAGGGACCCCCGCGCCGGGGCTTCCCCGTGCCCCGTCCTCCGACTCAGAGAAGACCGCGGCGGGGGCGGGGGCGCGGTGGGACTACCCGAAAATGCAACGTTTTGTCTTTAAACCACAAGGAAAACAAGACAGGACGGGGGAGGGGAAGGGCAAGAGACATCCCCCAGGGAGAGGAAACGGAGAGGAACAAAAACAACGGGCAGCGCTGTCCCCGGTCCCTTCGGACACTCGAAAAAGTGTCCGCCGGAGCCCCCGCGACGGCTGCCGGCCGGGAGGCAGTGGGAAGCAGCGTGTCCCGTCCGCCGGCACCCCGAGCGCGGCACGCCCGCAGCAGCGCGGGGCGGGGGCGGGCGGCGGAACCCCGCGACTCCACTGCCGCTGCCGCCCGTGCCCCGCGTCCCGGCCGGCTGCCTCGCCCCCGCGCTGCCCGGGACCTCGCTGGAGGAGCGGGGCTTTCGGGAAGGGACTGCCATCCCTACGCGTTTTCATGCCGCTCTGTCCGGAGGGGACGCCGCCACCAGAAATGTTTCCTCACAGCCTCCGGTCAAGCTGCTGCTGGCCCCGCCGTCGGCCCTCGCAAGGGCAGGCGGTCGGCAGAGCGACTGCGGCCGGCAGAGCCCCGTCGCCCACCCCAGGCGGGCCGGCAGCCCCCGGCCGCTCGTGGGGCTCAGCCCGGGCCCCCCGTTTCCGCCGCACCGGGAGTGGGCGGGAGGCGCAAGCGGGGAACAATGCGACAGCAGCCTTCGCGGCTTGCTCCTGTCTTGGGGCTTACCCCAGCAGCCCCGGTAGCACCCAGCCGAGGAGCGGTGAGGGCAAAGCAGCGGGGAACATCACCTGGAGTGAGGCAGAAAGTCCGGCTGGGCGTGGATAAAGTCGCCCCGTCCGCACGGAAACCAGTTTGGTTTTTTGCAATTAAACTCGCGTGGGGCCGGTGTAAAAGCTTGTCTCCGTCCCGCGACGGACGGCTCCGCTGCTCCCTCCCAACACATTTGTTTTGCAGCAACTTTGTTTTTGCTGTTGCTGTCATCGAACCGACATCAAAACAGTGCTAAATAAACGCTAAATACAAGCAGACGCACACACCCCCTCCACGGACACATGCACATGCGACAGGGAACCCGCTTCCTCCACCTCCGAGCAGAAGGGGTGGGAGGGAGATGCGGGGACGGGGAAGTCACAGGCACTCACCTTCTCGCTGCCGGGATATGCTGCTACCTTTATTTTAGGGCCGCTCCTTATTTATTTATTCTTGTATCTTCTCCGAGCCGAGGCTCCCCTTTTGCACTGTTCCTCTGGCCAAAACAGAACATCCCCCCTACAAGTCGTCCCCCCCACCCCTTTCTCCACACACAAATAAAGAGCAACTCAGAGCAAAAAAGGGAGGGAAGGAGATAGATGGAGGAGGAGGCTGGTACGGGAGAAGCCAAACACTCCTCGCACTTCAGTAAGTGCAACTAGTTGCCTCTCACGCACAGGAACGTAAAAAGTTTCCCTGGCAAGGGACGGGACTTCCCTAAGAAAAGGTAACCCCCTCCCGCCCAAAAAGGCCGTCCCGGGAGCGCGGAGGTAAGGGGCGAGGAGCCGGCAGCCAGCGCAGCCCCGGGGCGCCGCTCCGCACTTGTGCCAGGAGCTGCCGCAGGGGTGCTCCCTGTGCCGGCCCCTCTCGGCACGGCAGCCCCGCTGCCCACCGCCGCTGCCCCGCTCAGCCCGCCGGCACTGCCCTGCCCCGCGCTCGGAACACCGCGGTGGGCACGGACCGCCGGCTGACCCGGCCACCAGACTATTCCAAAGTGTCCCTCCCGCGGTCCTCGGCCTCACAGCCCGGGGCATGGACCTTTTGCCTTCGCTACTCCCTGACATCTGCAGTTAGTAGTGATGGGAGCAAAGGAGGGGGCCCTGAAGGGTAGGATTGATTAATGTCAATCCGCTGGAGTACAGGTAGTGAAGTCTGAACTTCATTTCTTCCCTTTGTTTTTTTTTTTTTTCCTAGAAGAAGTCAACACTATAATCTTGAGTTTGAATGATCAAGTATGATCAAGTTCTGCAAGACAGGACTGGTTGGCATACCCTTTTATAGGATACATTTGTCTCCTTTCTCTCAGTGTGGATGAAGGCAAAGTCCTTTCCTGCTCTGAAACTGAACACTCTTCTCTGCAAGAAATTCAGCAGCTGCATTTGGTCCTCTTTGCTCCATTGTGTGGGGAAGCGGAAGAAAATCCCTAATTGCTTAGTCACATTTCATACTCTTACCCTTCACCTTGTATTATTTTCTGACTATAGTTTCACTGAGAGGATTGAGTGGCTCTTGTTCAACCAGCTGCATCACCCTCTTTCTGTCAAGTTAACTTCACTCTCCAAAGGGTCTAAGTAAAAGATTTAAAAGAGGAGGCAAAAGTTAGGCCCTATACTTGGAGAGAGATGTGAGAGAAAAGTCTTGGGCTTCAGAAGTCATGAATGTTAGAAGCTTTTGAGGTCAGCAAGTCACCTGAAAGGAGGGGGAAAAAAAGTATGGATTTGTGAAAATTTTTCCTACCTGCTTTCTCTTTTCTCACTTTGCATTTGGTGATACTATTTAGAGTTATTTAACTTTACTCAAGCCTATGAATTTCGTAATTTTCATTCAATGAATTCTACTAACATGGTCATTTTTTCCTAAAGAATTTCAGATTTCAGATGACTGAATCTTCCAAGCCTATGAATTTCGTAATTTTCATTCAATGAATTCTACTAACATGGTCATCTTTTTCCTAAAGAATTTCAGATTTCAGGTTACTGAATCTTTATGAGAACAAGTCTGTAAAAACTCTGTATTTGCTGTCTTGGGAGACTCGCCACTCAGAAAGAGAGCAGACTTGGAAAACTCTTTTTACCTACACAGATACAGCTAAAAAAACTTTTAAACTAAATAAGCGTCCAAAAGCCAGCCTTCAAATTGACATAGTGTAGGACCAGCCAGAAATAGGAAATTAATTTTGAAAATAAGAGTTTAGAGAGTAGTTGGAAGGGGAGAAAACTCAGATTTGTAGGAATAATTATGATTGACAACCCTGCCATAAACTAAGTTGTGACTAATGCCAGCACCCATCTTGTTAAAAGGCTCCTTCTGCGGGGAAACATGCTAACAACTCCTTCCTTTCCAGGGGACTTTGGTGAGTGGCAGCTCGGTGGTCTGTTTTGAGGTACTCGAACATGGTAATGAAGGTTTTGTGAAGTCTGGTTTCCTTCCACTTCAATGAAGAGAATTCCTGTTGTGGGTAACAGTCCTGTAGTAACATTGGTTGTTTCAATGGACATATCACTTTAAAGCAAGCTCTTAACCATTTGTTGCGCTCTTTTTAAAATGTACAGCTGACTTGAAAAGATTATCTGTATCTTTGTTCAGTGTAACTTGCTTCAAATTGAGGAGGTGTGGGAGGTCTGCACTGCTGGTACATGGTATGGTCCCAAGACAAAACTCCCAGTAAGGAGCCTGGTCTTGATGCCATTGAACAATGCTGCTGTTTTGCTGTTGGTTTTGGTGAGGGCGAGAAGAGTCACGCTGAAACTGAATGTTACACTGAGCGTACTGAAGGGATTCCTACAGAAACTGATCTGCTAATCAGACAATTTTTTTTGCAGAGATTTATTATAAATATGACTCACAGGCAGTAATTAAATGGTGATTTTAGTTTAATCAATGTCCTTAAGCTGAAGTAAATTCCCATGAGCTCAGTGGAAGTGATTTCAGAAAGTGGCAAATCCAAAATGTAGTAAAATGCATTGGTTCACATAAATGACTCTGTATGACCGTAGAGAAGGTCATGCTAGAAATAGTCCTAACAGAGTCCAAGGAAGGGCTGCAGGATCCACTTTTACACCAGAATAGAAGAATAATGCCTTATCCATTTAAAGCAACATGGGAATGTAAGTAGGCAGGATGTAATTATCTAGACTGGTATTTGGCCAGGCACTCCTACACTGGCAAAGACTGCCATAGGGTGTTAATGCCCACAAGTGCTCAGTATCCTTGGTTTTACCTCTTAATTAAAGACAGCACTTGTGATCATATTCTTTCTGCTGGTTCAATACTGCGTCAGCAGAAGAATGCCACGCTGCACAAATACCATTTCATAGAGTAACCTGGAATTTCCTTGGAAGTCTTCCATGCAAATATTACAGACCCAACCCTACCTACCTTGTGTAATCTAGTGAGGTTACAGCCATAAGCAGTGTGGCTCCAGAGAATCATGTTTGCATGTGTTGCTAAAAACAATGTGGGGTTTGGAATATTAATAAATAATTTTAAAATTAAACCAATATTCTTTTGCATTGCATCTCAGTGACAAGGTTGTGTTGCTGTTTAAGCAAAGGGATTTTGGTAAAGTTATTGTGAGAAAAGCTAATGACAGACAGCCACTATTTTGACAATGGATCATTATTATGATTTATTTAAGTGCCTCCCATGTCCTACATCCAGATGAGGTACCTGTTGCAAATTTTGTTTTGCAAAAGCAGGGCTTTGAAATATGGTTTCTTATTTTCAGGTTCAAGTATGAAATCCAAAAGCATGTTAATTAGGCAAAGAGTGTTGATCTATATACTTAAGGTTATTATTGGTGCTTCATGGCTTTATAGTCATAAAAAGAAGGAATGAATGGGGGTTCTTTTGACCTGGTTATCAGATTTCAGGTTTAAAAAGAAGGTGACCCACCCTTTTCAGTAATTCGACATGCAGGGTTCAGCTGTGGGTTCAAAAACAGGTTATAACTGGCTAGTCATTGTGATCTTGAAATGCCAACTGTGCCTTTAAGTATGTTATATAACCTATTTTTTGGGTTCAGTTTTCAAGTATGCCATCATTTCAGTGTTACTTAGATTTTCATATA